CCGTTTGACTTGACATACTTTCCATCGATAAATCGTATCGATAACAACGTAGATATAAAAAGTTGGATACGAACTTATTTGGGGAACGTATATTTCAGACATTCAATCATGCAGACGAACAATGAGAGTGAAATGCATGTGAACTGCAACTATGAAAATATCCAACAACACTTAGCATTTATGATCAGACAGAAAAAGTTAGTTAACAGCAAGTTATGAGTACAGTAAGCGATAAATAAGCATACGTACACAGACGCTCATATAAAACAGTTAAGGTGACAAGTAAACAATAGAAAAGTTTAATTACATAACTAAAAAGGAAGTGATTGATTGGTTTGTTCAAATTTTTAGAATAAATCACGTAACTACTTACTAACAGAGAAACTACTACAACTGAAATGCAAAAATATTCAATTGATAAGTCACGAATAAAATAAAACTCGCATCCATGTTCCCGCCTCCAGCCACTATGCAACTTTAATATAATAATATCGTTTAGTTTAGAAAAATAGCCTCCACTAATTATTAACATACAGAAATTTTCTTATTACATTTTAGAAATCAGAAATTGGTCAAGTAAGAATGTTATTAACAAGTGCTATATTTTTACATGCACGAGAAGGTTTTCCACTTCATTGTATAAATTTAACAGTTTGGTGTCTTTGGTAAGTTTTTTCTTATGCTTGGTTTTTTCCTCAAAAATTTGCAATTATACTTTGATTCTATGATGATGTTATGATTATGTTAGGGGATGTGTGATTATGTACACCGTAACCATCACTCACCTACGTCGATAGACAATTTCAACTGATGTACAAGTGTACGTCGACTGCCTCGAAGAGCTATGTTTTGTGGTACAGGAGTAGGTTGGAAAAAAGCTAGGGGCGGCCAAACCAAAACATGGCACAAATCCATGAAGTCATTGACGAGTGGACTTAGCCATGTCGGTAGTTGTCGACTACCTGGTTGGGGTCGGCGAGATGATAATAATCGATGGTTAGAGACCTTGAATGACATGTCTCAAAATCGTTCGCAATGGCTCGGGTGCATTTATTCTTTGTGTTCTCTCAAACCCTAATCTTCTGGATTCTTCAACACCTCTAGTTTCGACTCTTTAAACTTTTCTCACTGAATCATACTTCTTGAATAATATTTTCTAATCCTAACCTCTCCGATTACTTCTAATTCCCTTACTACGTCTTCTACTATTGGATTTGAATTGACGATTACTTCTCTGTGCTGATGTGGTATGGCAACATGAACTGATGTACTTATGTACAAAGTTCTACGTTGCATCTGACTGACTGACGTCGACGGAAAGCTATGATCGTCCAAACGAAAATGCATAAGCAGTGCGTGAAGCTATTAATTGTCTGTCTAAACTGTGTTATTACATGTAAACTAACATTGAACTTTCAATGATAATATTGATTTTTCTATAGCTTATTGTGGTGGTGTTTCGTTCTCTGAGCTGGATGTTTTGGTTGTGGAGCTTTCATTGCTTTTCTGAACAACATAATCAGCACCAACTTTAGATACCAAAAGTGGGGTGTCCTGTTGACCTCACTCTTCATTGGTTTTGATTGACCTTGAACTTCCCGTTGTCTGCACCTTCATTTTGACTATTTCTCCCTTTGATCGGTTCATTGATCCTATGTTTGCCTATGATTTTTCTGATTGGTTGATAAATTGGGTTAATGTCGATGTGTTTGTTGATTGCTGATTGACCTGAGGGCTAAGCTTCTAGAAATTCTCTAGTGTCCTTTGTCGTTCCCCTATCCAGTATTTCCACATTGTTCCAATTGAATGTATGTCCATAGTTGTCCATATGTATTGATATACGCGAAGAATTGTCGTATCAGTTGACTGCTGATTGATGTTCACATAAACGAAGCTGAAGAGGCCGTCCACTTTGTCCTATGTAGTGTTTTTCACAGTCTGGGCAGTTTACTTTGTAAATGATATTTGGTTTTTCTTCCTGTGTCAAATCAACAGATGAAGTATTGAAACTTCATCAGTTGATGTGGTTGGGACGTGTTACTAATGCCTAACCACCGACTGCCTCGACGAACTATGTTTTGTGGTGTAGGAGTAGGTTGGAAGAAATTTAGGGGCGGTCAAACCAAAACATTTCACAAATCCATGAAGTCACTGACAAGTGGACTGAGTCATGTTGACAGATGTAGGCTACCTAGTTGGGTTCCATGAGATGAAAGTCACTGATGGTTAGAGATCTTAAATTATATGGCTCAAAATTGTTTGCGGCGGCGCAAGTGCATCCACTCTTTGTGTCCTCTCAAATTCTAACATGAATTCCTCCTCTTCTCTATCTTTCTCTTTCTTAACACCTTATCTCACTGAATTATACTTCCAGAATCATATCTTCGAACCCTAATCTCCATTACTGCTAATACTTCTACTATCTCTACTACTACGGGATTTGAATTGACAGTTGCATCTCTATGTTAATGTGGTATGACAACCTGAACTTATGTACTCATGTACGAAGTTCTACGTTGTAACTGACTAAGTGACTTCTTCCTTTGTCATTTCATCCTTTGGTGTCTACATAGGATTGATTGAAGTGATTCTGTTAGTTTGTATACTATACCTATTTCAAATGGTCTCAGTAGTCGTGCTATATGCTCCGATACAGCGTATTATCAACAATAGTGTAGTAATTAATTCTATTGTGTTTCTTTGTTGTATTTGCTATGCACTTAATCTTCTTTTGTTGTTTAGTATAACTTTCTTATTTTCCATACAATTATTATTATAACAGGTTTATAGTGTAATGTGACTACTAGATTATGATTGAAAACATTTTGATTAATGTATCACGTATATTTATTATTTATTGTATGATTGTGTTTAAACTTTGTGATTATCTATATGTGTATCGAATGACCTTAAAGTTCAATAGTCAATCATCTGTAATTCATGAATAAAGTGTGGTGATTTACAATGATTAGGCTGATAATGTTATAGATTATATTTACTAGCTATATTATTGAATTATTAGTCATTAAGAGTGAATGTATCTGTTATGTTCGTCACTAGATACGCTTGAAGCTATTACGAGTTAGTTCACCTTAGTCGATAAACGCGAACGAGACAGTGAACCAGAGTACAGGTAGGCTATCTTGATCCGAAAACGGCAAAACAGAAGTCTAGATAAGCGTAGAAAGTATATACAACAACACCCAGCAATTACAATACAATCAAGCACACAACTCTCGTTTATTTATACATCGTAGAAACGTCCTTGGGACAGTTGTGAAAATAGCACACTAAAATACATAGCCATGGATTTTCCTGGTGTGAAATGAAATCTCAAGATCAACTGATCAGCTCATGCTCGCAAACGTGAAATCCAAATTAAGGCATTTATCAAGCGAGTTCTGGGGATCTAACATCCCCAAGTGTATCATGAACGTATCTTTAACCGTTACTTCTAATACTTTCTACTACCTCTACTGCTATGGGATTTGAATTGATAATTGCGTCTCCATGCTGATGTACGTACGTACGAAGTTCTACGTTATAACTAACTGATACTATTTAGCCAAACTGTAACTCTATACTCTTAATAATTGTTAACGTAGCCATTTCCTAAACTATTGAGAAGATAAAAGCAAGTTGAAGATTGACTTATGTCTTGCTTCCACAGACAATGATAATGTTGTAATAGTTGGAACTGATCTTCTAAATTATTATTATTAATAACAGTTTCGTTGTATAATTACCAAGTAACTACATTACTGTATATTTGTATCCCATTTATTATTTCTAATCTATTGCCAGTCGATTAATTACAGCTTGCCCTATTCACAATCACTTTTGGTTTGTTCATATATCATTGCGATTTTCATATAGTTTATGGTGTGACATGATCTGGTATCTGTGTCTGAACATAAACCATGTTTCTTTCAAATATATAGTAGAAATTGGTTTGTACTTCTTGACTCGTCACAAGGCATAGAAAGGAATTTACAGATCATAGACTAGCAGGAACTTGGCTGCGTCGATTCATGATCAGTTGTGTTGGTCGAACGTGTGATTAAACAAGTCACTGACAAATTAGAATCAGAATTCTAATTTGTAACTAGGAACTTGGTATTATTAGTCAGTGGGTCACAATACATGATGCATGGACAGAAAATTCCGTGGTTACTTGTATATTTCATTTAGAGTATCCTTGAAAATCAGCCATTCTACGTTGCAACTGACTGACTGACTGAGCCATTCAGATTGAGAGTTTAATGAAAAGCGATACCCGTGAGATTTGAAAATTAAAAGTACACGAAGCGAACTGATGTACGTTAGATTCGTCATTTGGTTAGATATCTGTTTGCTAACCAAAAGATGATTCTACTGCGAAGCAGTTCTATTCGTCCTACTTTATGACTGTGAAGCATGGCCAATAAGAGTAGAGAATATTCTATTATAGATGTCTCCGAAGCACTGCTTGTGTATCCTCGGACTATCGAGTAAGCAATGCTGTTGTTAGGAAACGGGTACTAGATAAGGATGGCACATCAATAGATGAAGTATTGAAACTTCATCGGTTGAGGTGGTTGGGACATGTGTTACTGATGCCCAACCACTGACTGCCCCGACACTCAATGTCTTGAACGGTAAGATGTAGGAGTAGTTAGTGAGTTGGAAACATACAATGAGGACAGTATGAAAAAATATACTCTGCTTATAGCCTTCAAAGTTACTTTTTCATGTTCATTTATTCTCCCAATCTTAACAAATAATATATATTTGTCGGTTGAATTCGTCACAAATTAATCTCAATCAGGGTACCATTGAGTACTTGGAACTCAGCGATACACATCTCTCACTTTGTCACAGATTGAAACGATTCATTTCAAATCCTGCAGCAAACGTCTAACCATTTGAATTATACTAGGTTTATTTAATGTCGAATTATTGATATTTCTAACTTCAATTAATTCGTAATGTTGTTTGATACTAATTAATTAAAAATTTGTTTCATTTTTTTCAAATTCTTTTTTCAATTCAAATTACAGTTTAACAACTAATTTAGATATAACTATTCAAGAAATTCTACTTCCAGCTATACGACCATGTTTAAGTTGTGCTGATAGTTCAGTTCGTCGAGCTGTAGCTAATCTACTGCATGGATTAATTGAAATTCTACGATTTATGAGTAATAGTAGCAATAGCAGTAGTAGTAGTAGTAGTGGATCACCTTATACCAATCATCATTATGTACATACAAATTCAACAATCATTACACAAAATGATATTTACAAATCAAATTTATTAGCATTAATATGGCCATTTCTTAGTCAAGTAACAAGAGATGATTTAACTGGTCAACGTAAACGTATTACATCAGATCAAGCTGATTGGAGTGTGTTGTGTTGTTCACTTGGTCCATTGTATAGTTTTTACATGTTAATATGTGCACCATCGTTGTTGAATTCGATGATGAATTCTTCTAGTTCATGTTCTACATCTGTTGGCACGGTTGTCAGTGGTGGCGGTGGCGGTGATCCTTCTGGAAGTGTTTGTAGAATTGAAAATGGGTCGTCTTCTTCTACATCAACAGCGACAACAACAACAATGGATACAATGTTAGCTTCAACAAAAGATACAACTAATGATTATGCTAATTATCGAACTATGGTAAGAGATTTACAATTAAATTTCTGTTATTCACATGTATTGCATTGATTACTTACTTGTTTACGTCTGTAATCCGCAGTGGAGCATAGACTCCCCAACCATCATTCTCCAACCTACACTCTGTCATGGGCCTTCTTTTTGCATTTCTATGCGATTGGTGTTCATTTTTCACATGTCTATCTTTAATACTCAGCGTCATGTGTTCTTTGGTTTTCTACTTTTCCTTTGGCCTTGAATCTTGCATTCGGTTTAACGACACTCTGTTGAAAACTTTGCCTGGCATTGACAGAGGAGTAACGCCTCTGTAATTCTTACACTTGTTGGAATCGCCTTTCTTTAGTATTTTGATCAGGTATCCTTCTTTCCAATCTTTTGGTACTTGTTCTTCATCCCAAATCTTGCTGAATAGAATGTGGAGTACCTTCGCAGTTACTTTTAAGTCTTTTTTCAGTGCTTCAGCTGTCATGTTGTCTGGTCCCGCTGCTTTGCTGCTCTTGATTTTTCTGATGGCCATGCTGATCTCTTCAATTGTTGATGGGCTAACATTGATTGGGAGGTTCGTGGTTACTGCTGCTTTGATGACTAATTGGTTCAGTGGTGCTAGTCTATTCAAGAGTTCTTCGAGATGCTCTACCCACCTCTTTCGCTGTTCTTCAGTGTTGCTGATTACTTTGCCTTCCTTGCTTTTCACTGGTCGTTCTGGTTTACGACAGTTTCCAGCGAGCTTTTTCGTTGTATCATATAGTTGTCTCATGTTTCTTACTCACGAAGCTCTCTTTGCTATCGTTGTTAGTTCTTCCACATATTTACGTTAGTCAGCTCTGTTTGCTTCTGTGTAATCAGATTATGCCTTGACTTTCTCTTCTCGTATTCGGTTGATGTTAATTGCTACCTTCTTGTTCCTCCTTTCTTATCGTATACAGTGTATCGACAGTAACCCATTCCTTGTGATGGTATATCTTGTGGGCCAGAACCTCATGACATATTGAAACGTATCTCTTAGGACTATCTTCAATTCGTTGAGTGCATGTATTGCATAACCCAATGAAAATTATGTTGGTTATGTACCGCAAATTCACTAACTTCGGTTCCTAAAAAGATATCCGTGAAGAAATAACAGTTCAAGTCGGTTTCTCCATGTCCGGAACATTTAACTATCCAATCACCCTAATCAATGTAGTATAATACATATCACTAAATTTGAATTTGAACTAGCACTATCAAAACAAATTATAATTTCTCTTAATGTAAGTGAGCAATGTTTTCAAAAGTTTTTCTGTTAATTTATGAAGGTTAGATCAAAACGTAGTGTCTAGAGAGAATACAAGATAGATAGAAAAGTATTACAGTGGTGATGAATACAAAAAACGAACTCAAAATGTCAATATCAGACGATCAGCTCAAAATCGCATTCCAAAATCGAAGCTAGCGTTCAGCCAATCACTCTTAAATTGAATTGATTAAAACCTTGACTCGTTATCCGTTTGTTAACCAAAGGATGAATGTAGTGCGCAGCAGTTCACTCTATCCTACTTTATGGTTCTGAAACATGGCCAGTGAAAGTTGAAGATATTCGTCGGTTATTAGTATTCGATTATAGATGTCTTTGAAGCATTGCTCGTGTATTCTGGGACAACTGAGTAAGCAATGCTGTCGTTAGGAAACGAGTCCTAGGTAAAGATAACAGTTCGATTGATGTAGTATTGAAACCTCATCAGTTGAGATGGTTGGGACATGTATTACGGATTCCAAACCACCGATTGTCTTGACGGGCGATGTTTTGTGGTGTAGGATTAGGTTGGAAGAAAGCTAAAGATTGCCAAACCAAAACATGGCTCAAAATCGTTTGCAATGGGGCAGGTGCATCCACTCTTTGCGCCCTCTCAAGTGCTAATCTTCTGAATTCCCCATCACCTTCGTCTTCTTTTTAAGTGTATTTCATTAGATTATACTTCCTAAATAATATCTTCAAACCCTTAATCTTCCCCCAATGACCAGTAATTCTTCTGCTATCTCTACCACTATAGTATCGCAATCTATACTTATGTACGTACGTACGTACATACGTACAAAGTTCTACGTTGTAACTGACTGACTGATTGACTCAACATCTCAATACCCAATAGTACTTCATTTCACATAGGTCATCTATCTATCTCATTATCGCATCTTACTTACCACTCACTATCAAGTATTCCTTGGACATTAAACTTTATTCTTTATAAATCAGAACAAAATTTAAGACCAAACCAAAAACGATATACATCTAATTTAATATTTTTGTTTACTTTTTTTGTAAAACAAAAAAAACAGGCATTAGATTTACTCAGCTTACAATATGATTTAGTTGTTGGTCGAACTAATTCCAATGAATTGAATTCATCTGTATGCATAGATTATACAACAGATCGATTGATTATTTCACAACGTCGTTTTTGGAATACATTAGTTAAAAGTCTATTAGATTTAACTAATCGTCTTCTACCAATATGTGGTGAAAATTTTCAACAAAATAGTAAGTTTATACGATAATAATAATGGTAATAATAATACTTATTTTGATTCTATACTATATTTGTTGATTACAGTGAAGTATACTCTCATCAGTTGAACTGGTTGGGACATGTGTTACGTGTGCCCGTCCACTGACTGCCTATACGAGCAATGTTTTGTGGTGTAGGAAGGATTTTGATTTTGACCAGTTTGGTCTCATGTGTTGTTACGAGTATGAGGGCGATTGTCACTTCCCGGCTGCCCACACCGTGGAAGGGTGTTTCTTGAGGAACCTGAAAAGGAAAATAGATTAGTGTTAGTCTTGGAGACCTGGGAGCGCAACCGCAGAGTCCAAGGGACAACTGCTTGAGGCCGGTCACGCACGGCCTTTTTATGAAAGGTATTTTGAGTATTAGCTCCGTTCTTAAAGGCCCTTAGTGGGCACCCTTACCACCGGAGACGGAAATCCGTGAGGTAGGGTGAGGTATGACATTTTTAGGGTCTACCTTTTCTAACCCTTCCTTCCTTGTGAGAAGGCAGCATCACTGCAGATGCTGGTTGTCCGAAGGAAACACCTTACTGCTGTCACACCCCTCCATCACAGTCAGCAGTACGACTTCGCCCTCAGACCCTGCATGAACATATGTTCCTGCAGGTCCTTCCCGAACTAATGTACGTACATACGAAGTTCTGTGTTGTTTTTGTCTTCACTCTCCTGTTCTTTCGCCTGTTACCCGCCAATGGAGTATAGGCCACTAACTAGTATTCTCTAACCTACTCTGTCCTTAGCCTTGTAGTTTACATAACTATTTTATATTATGTCGTTAGGTAGTTGAAAGTAATCGGTAGAAAATCATGCACACGACAGCAGCAGCATTTGAACGCATGTCACCACTGTTATTCAGGTCACTGAATAATGACCTTCTGCAGGTCAGATACTTACAATGGATTGATCATTGATTAGTGATAAAATTCATATTTGAACCGTGATTTAAATATAATACAAGACCAAAGACCCTGGGTTAAAATCCTACGAGGTGTAGGAGTCATGGATGCGCATTGCCACTGATGAGTCAGTCAGTCAGTTGCAACGTAGAACTTCGTACGTAAGTACATCAGTTCATGTCGCCATACCACATCAACACAGAGATGTAATTGTCAATTCAAATCCAATAGTGAAAGAGGTAGTAAAGGTATTAGGAGTAATCGGAGAGGTTAGGGTGAGAAGATATTATTCAAGAAGTATAATTCAGTGACGTAAATTTAGAAAGAGAAAGATAGAGGTGATGATTAATTCACAAGGTTAGAATTTCATAGAACGCATAGAGTTAATGCACATGCACCACTGAAAATGGTTTTGAGCCATGTCATTCAAGGTCTCTAACCATCGATTATTATCATCTCGCGGACCCCAACCAGGTAGTCGACAATTACCGACATGGCTAAGTCCACTCGTCAATGACTTCATAGATTTATGCCATGTTTTGGTCTGGCCGCCCCTAGCTTTCTTCCAACCTATTCCTACACCACAAAACAAAGTTTGTCGAGGCAGTCGGTGGTTAGACATACGCAGCACATGTCCCAACCACCTCAACTGATGAAGTTTCACCACTTCATCTATCGATCTGCCATTCTTACCTAGCACCCGATTCCTAATAACAGCGTTGCTCACTCGGGTGTCCCAGGATATACGAGCAATGCTTCGAAGACACCTATGATCGAAAACCAGTAACCTACGAATATCTTCTACTCTCACTGGCCATGTTTCACAGCCATAAAGTAAGACGGAGAGAACTACTGCGCAGTAGACTCATCCTTCAGTCAGCAAACGGATATCTCGCCTACGCCATAAGTGACGCAGGTTGGAAAAAGCCAATCGAGCCTTTTGTATCCGTGCAGAGATTTCGTCAGTCACCAGGCCATCGGCACTGATGAGACTCCCAAGATAAGTGAGGCGGTCTACACGTTCGACCACTTCACTCCCTATCACTAGTTCAGGTGCCGATGGAACCCAATCTTGAAGCAACATTTTGCATTTCGAGGGTGAGAACCGCATCCTGAACATGCTCACATTGTTGCTTAGGGTGGTCTGAAGACTCTGCATTTTGTCAGCATCTTCACGAAGTAGGACAATGTCATCGGCATATTCTAAGTCGATAAGCGTGCCACCTGGTAAAAGGTCTACTCTTGAAAATTCTGACGACAATAAGGTTATTTCTAGGAGCATGTCTATGATAAAATTAAACAAGAATAGGGAGAGTGGACATCCCTGACGGACACCACTTGAAGTAGAGAATTCCGATGACAGTTCGCCATAAGCTCTCACTCGACCAGTGATGATGAGTCAGTCCCATATCAGGACGAAACAGCTGTCTTTCAGTGTTTCCAGTTTTCTAATAATGGTCTAACAATGATTGATTCATAATTTCACACTGTTATTTTTATTAAATTTTTTTTTATTTTAGATATATTACCATGGCTTTTTAGTTTAGCTGAAATGAATAATTCGTTGCCAAGTTTAGAACAACGTGTTGATTTGGCTAATCATTTGTTCACAGTGTTTTCTACCGCTGCCTATTGTATCCTTTTCCGTGCAGTTTTTTTTTCACTGTTTATTAGTTAGAATTATTCATAATATTCTATTGAAATGGATGAATTCTCTTTTCTTGTAGTGATGAGTTTTTTTCTGGCCCCAGCGAGCGATATAACAACTTCATAATCATTTACCAACCTTATTTAGTTCATACAATTTTGTATGAATGTCTTGTAGTAGTGAACCGTTTCATTGTGTATGTTTGCAATATTTTTGATTGCTGCCTACTTTCAACGGTTGTACGAAAACACACCAGACACACACGCACACATCATTACAATGAATATCAATCAAATGTTGTGATGCCTTCCATCAGAGAACATTGCTCATACATGAGAATAAAACTTTTAATAAAGAATAATATTTTGAAATCATGAATCAATCATTGTTAGACCACCATCAGAAATCTAGAAACATTGGGCGACTGTTTCGTTTTAGTATGGAACTCTTCAGCAGCGCGCATACGTGTACACGCCCGCAGGAATCGAACCTAGGACCTTCTGTCTCAGGGGCTAGCACTTAATCTCTAGACAACTTAACCTGCATCCAACGATGGTATCGTCTAACTTTTATTAATCTAAGAGTCCTACACTTGGAAGAAACGGCTTTCTAGTGCTTCTGGGTTTCTAACAGTGATCTGACAATGATTGATTCTTGATTTTATTGTAACGCAACAATCTCCATAACTCCATGATGAGAATATTAGTATTATTAGAGAATTTTAAAACTTACGCTTGTTACGCCTAATAAAATATAGACCACCAATCATCATTCTCCAACCAACTCTGTCCTGGGTCTTCTTTTCCAGTTCTACCCAATCGCCGCTCGTTCTTTTGATGTCTGCTTCAGATTCTCGACTCAGTGTATCCCTTGGTCTACCTTTTTTCCCTTGCTTTTCAAGATTCCAAGCTAGGGCTTACCTCGTGATGCAGTTAGGGGATTTCCATTGTATGTGTCCTATCCAGCCCCCAGCGTTGTCTCATAATTTCTTCCTCGATTGAAAGCTCATTTGTTCTCTCCCACAGTAGATAGTTGCTGATTGTGTCTGGCCATCGGATGAAGAGTATCTTCCGTGGACAGCTGTTAAAAAACACATGTATCTTGTGGATGTTGATGACTTTCGTAGTTCACCGACTGTCTACTCCATACAATAGAACTAACTGTCTTGACTTTGTATTGTTGAGAAATTTTTTAAAAGCCTAATATTTAATACAGTTTTTTTTCTGAAAATAAACATCACGAAACGTATCAAACCAATCATTGGAAATGTACAAATGCCAATGAGGACAGTAAATACACTCGAAGGAACCAATCACAATCATTGTTATTGCCATTTATAATACTACTTTATATAGTAGTGAAAGCTTTATCCAGTGTTTAGCTCAAGAAATATTACACACCTAGCTAAATAATGAACTACTTAACTTAAAAATTTTCTCTAAAAATGAATATTTTTTAATCATTAGATAAAGTCGTGATTTTACAAAAAGTCAGTCAATGATTATCAACATATATATAACTTGGCCTAAGCTGAACTACCGAATTAGTTGCATGATATAAAGAGATTTGGAGTTTCAATGTTGTAGCAATAACAATGAGACTGACTTAGTAGTATTAAGAACAGAGTTCGAGAAGATATATCAGATTGAGTGATATGTTTACTGACAGAAATCTTTGTAGAGTTGTGGAGACTTTTGAATCTTTGTGGTATCACTTACTGAGATGTATGACTGAATTCACGGTTTACTACTACTACTATAATACAACCGGTAACTGATATTTTCTTACCATTAGTTTCGATCACATCTATACACAGACTAGTAGAGTTCCATAGTAGAAAATAGCAACAGAAAAGAGCATCAACTAGTCAGTCAATTTGTCTTTCTGCTCTCAATATTGACTGGTTATATCTTACTTTCACTAGCCGTATATTAGGAAGGATTTGATTTTGACCAATTTTGTCTCGTGTGCTGTTACGGGTATGAGGGCGGTTATCACTTCCCGGCTGCCCACACCGTGGAAGGTTGTTTCTTGAGGGACCTGAAAAGGAAGATAGATTAGTGTTAGTCTTGGAGACCTGGGAGCGTGACCGCAGAGCCCAAGGGACAACTGCTTGAGGCCGGTCACGCACGGCCTTTTTATGAAACGTTTTTTGAGTATTAGCTCCGTTCTTAAAGGCCCTTAGTGGGCACTCTTACCACCGGAGACGGAAATCCGTGAGGTAGGGTGAGGTGTGACATTTTTAGGGTCAACCTTTTCTAACCCTTCCTTCCTTGTGAGAAGGCAGCATCACTGCAGATGCTGGTTGTCCGAAGGAAACACCTTACTGCTGTCACACCCCTCCATCACAGTCAGCAGTACAACTTCGCCCTCAGACCTTGAGTAGCTGCTTTTAGTCTGATCGTTCTCCAATCGACCTGCCTGGCACAGTAGAACCTTCAGGAACATGTGTTCCAGCCAATATAGCTCGGTTGGGTCATGACGATAGTCAAGCCCGACCACCACGTCAAGGTAGCAGCTTCGGCCGTATATCAAATATGATCACTGTCCATTTTGTATTTTTTTAATATAGAGTTATGCAGATTGTTGCTTATCACCGAAATCGTGAATGCACACTGCTGATAAGTCCCATCGATAGGACGAAACAGCCACCTTTCAGTGCTTCTAGGTGATTGATTCATGATTTCAATAGTATTTTTAATAATAATTTATTTAATCTGTGTTTCGCGTTATGATCTTAATTCACATTGAAATCATCCTACAAACTAATTCAGCTGTACAAAATGAAAAAAGTTTAATTCAATGGTTAGTTCCAGGTTTAGATCGTGTACGTTTAGATTTAATTGAAAGTGGAGATAATCGTCGTGCTCGTGAAGTAGAACAATTCTTATCTGATGTATACTTGAATCTACGACTGACTGATCCAGCACGTTCTTCGTAAGTTATTTCTTGTGATATTTTGCTTTTCAATTACTTCACATTACCGTAAACTAACTAGCTATATCACACTATTATCGAGTCATACATGGGATACAGTGACTAAACTTCAACTTGATCAGTATTGTGTAATCTACAGTGACGATTCGACTATATGATATTGATTACCAGTCAATGGCTGATTAGTTTAAACATTTCAATATTTCAGGATTGTTACTGTTAGTACCAGTCAGTCGGTCAGTAAGCTGCAGCGTAGAACTTCGTACGTACGTACATCAGTTCAAGTTGTCATACAACATTGGCACGGAGATACTATTGCCAATTCAAATCCCATAGCAGTAGAGTTAGTAGAAGTATTATCAGTAATCAAGAAGATTAGTGTTCAAAGATATTATCACTACTCGGATTTGGAACATCTATGACTTCAGAATTACATATGTTTGCATTTGGAGTCAGTCGAAACCTAATAGCTAAATTAGAAAGTAGCATCAGTTTATGGCGGCTGTTGATCGTTAGTTAGACTAAGGTGTGCAGTTCACTTTAAACTACCTGATTGGTGACTTTAGGTGACGCGAGTCACAGTGGTTCAGTTGCAGTTTTTAGTTGTTTTCGTGTAGATGCTGAGCTCCTTAAAATATCTAGTACTTTTTTGACATTACGAATTTATTCTTTTACCTTAAATTATATTTTATTTGCCTCAATTTTTTTTCGCTTACTACCACTGATTATGGTTTTACTTCTATTTTGACCTTTAATTTCATAACTTCATCTTACTGTCTAGATGCAACGGGACAACTTGAACTGATGCTCATATATTGTCTCAGTTTTTACGTTGCTTATGACTGACTGTTTAATTAACGTAAAACCAATGCTATTCTTGTTATGCTCGTCAATTGATATGCTTCAAACTATTACGAGTTCACCTTAGTCGCTAAACGAGAGCGAAGACAAATGATCCAGCGACATGATAGGCTACTCTCTAATCCGAACGTCCTAAGGCCCCACTAAGTATAGGAAGATGCCTTGATATGTTGCGTAGAAAGTATATTTTACAAGCACCTATAAAATATGAGGTTGACAAGCATACAAATTGAGTTTATTGATACCTGATAGAAACGCCCTTGGGAAAGCAACAAAATTAGCGTACTAAAATAATACATCAACCAATAACAGACAAGGATTTTCCCAGTGGGAAATGTAATCTCATGCTCAACTGATCAGCCCATACTCTAAAGCATAATAAAATCCAAAATTAGGACCTTTATCAAGTGAGTTTCGGGGGATCTAACGTCTCCAACAATTCTTATGGATTCTTTTCATTTGTCTTAACATTGAATAATGATGGACGTATGTTACAATTACGAACCAACTATTATGATACGATAATTTTTTTCTTCTTTCTACAGAAAAAAGTGTACATATTTCTATGCTAAACATGGATCATAAACGTTATTCTATCTTTTTTATTTTGTTTGTTGGTTACAATTGAAAATAGACAATTAGTGTTTCAAACATGTTTCTTAGATAACTATTGTTTTCTGATTAATAGACAGTTCTATTGATATTCTGAAAACAAATTGAACATTTCTATTAATGGTGAAAGTTATGTTGTGCTCTGACTGCATTCACTAGCATATTCACAGCATCTGTTAGGATTTGCTCAGGCATTATATATATGCATCTTTTTTTCATAACATACAACAAAGGCTTACTTACTTACGCCTGTTACCCTTAATGGAGCATAGGCCGCCCACCAGTATTCTCCATCCTACACTGTCCTGGGATTCCCTTTCCAATTCTTTCTGATTTTCGTTCATTCTTCTCATATCTATTTCTAGGAGTTATGTTTTCTTCGGTCTTCCTTTTACCTTAAGGGTTCCAAGTGACAGCTTGTCTTGTGATGTAGCTGTGTGCTTTCTTCAATATGTGTCCTATTCACATCCAGCGCTTCATCCTGATTTCCTCCTCCACTGGAATCTGGTTTGTTCTCTTCCACAGTAGGTTGTTGCTGTTGGTGTTTGGCGAATGAATCCTCAGTGTTTAGCGTAGACAACTGGGTACGGGGTACAACAAAGGCATCAGTTTCTTTATTGATATTCTCATTTTGGCGATGTTTGGGTTCTTGTTTGTTTTTTTAACCGATAGAAAAAACAGTAGTTTCTAATTTACTTGCAATTATTACGTTTGAAAATTGAAAAAAGCAATCCTACTTGTCTTTCGAATGGTCCGCATTTAAGTACCTTCTATCGCTAAAACAAAGAAAAATGGTCTGTTTTTTTAAAATGTTGAACTCTAGCTTGTGCAAATCGGTTTGTCAATTTTCAAAGAACAAATGTGTTTCTTAGCCGAGTATGGATGTTTAATGTTGCGTTAAAGATGATCATTTTTCTTAGTCACATTTAGAAAACACTAATATTTTTGTAAGAGATCAACTGTGACAGTTGTTTTTGATCAAAATAAGAATTAGGAACTGAATGGATTAACAAATTAGTTCAATGGTTCATCTTCTGAACGTGATTTGTACAAATTCATACAACTATTCTTTTTTTTACATAATATACATCATGAACTGACCTTAGTACAAAATTATTCGAAACCTGAAAGCACTGAATAGGTGCTGTGGTTTATTATGAAACTTCTGAGCAGTGTGCATCAATAATTCCACAGAGGATTTACCCTAGGACCATCTGGCTTCTCAGCAAAACGTTACTTTTAAAGCACTTAGTCAGCATCCAGTAACTTACATCTCTAAGTTCAGCAAATTCACTATAATGCTCAATCAGCTTCCAATGTCATTGCTGAGTAATTTCTTGATGCCCGATATGGATAAAATTGACTGACCACGGCTAATCGGTTGCCACGTGTTATGTTCGTCACTAGGTACGCTTGAAGCTATTACGAGTTCACCTTAGTCGATAAGCACGAACGAGACAATTACCAGCGTCCAGGTAGGCTACCTTGAATCTCAAGCGGTAAAACAGAAGTCTTGATAAGCGTAGAAAGTATATTCTACAACACCCAGCAATCACAATGCAATCAAGCACACAACTCTCGTTTATTTATACATCATAGAAACGTCCTTAGGACAGTCACAAAAATAGCACACTAAAATATACAGCAGGCAATCACAGCCATTGATTTTCCTGATGGGAAATAAAATCTCAAGGTCAACTGATCAGCTCATGCTGGCAAACGTGAAATCGAAAATAAGGCATTTATCAAGCGAGTTCCGGGGATCTAACATCCCCAACACCATGAGATCTAATGGTCGTGATGTGGACTCTAATGGAGCCCTATATTAAGCGAAAACAACTGTCCAGTGGTTTTTCAATGGTTTTCCAACGAAGATCACATTTCTAGATGTAAACTTTAAGATTCATTATGATCATCACAAACGATCTAATTTCCTCTTTTCCATTAAAAACTTCTGTGCAATTTCAACTTTATGTAAATGCAATCAGTCAGTCAGTTGCAACGTAGAACTTTGTACGTATGTACATAAGTTCAGGTTGACATACAACATTAGCACAGAGATGCGAATGTCAAATCAAATCCCATAGTGATAAAGATAGTAGAGGTATTAATGGTAATGAAGAAGACTAGGGTTCGAAGATATTATTCAAGAAGTATGATTCAGTGAGATAAGGTTAGAACGATAAAGGTAGAGGTGCTGACGATTCCAGAATATTAGAATTTGAGAGAGCACAACGAATGGATGCACTTGCGCCATTGCAAACGATTTTGAGCTATGTCGTTCAAGGTCTCTAACCATTGATGACTTTCGTCTCGCGGACCCCAACAGGTTAGTCTACATCTACCAACATGACTCAGTTCACTTGTCACTGACTTCATGGATTTGTGCCATGTTTTGGTTTGGCCCTCACTAACTTTCTTCCAACCTACTCCTACACCACAAAACCTAGCTCGTCGAGGCAGTCGGTGGTCAGGCATTCGTAACAGATGTCCCAACCACCTCAACTGATGAAGTTTCACCACTTCATCTATTGATCTGCCATCCTTACCTAGTACTCGTTTCCTAACGATAGCATTGCTTACTCAGTTGTCCCAGAATACACGAGCATGATTTCAAATTTTTAACTTAACAATCTTCTTACTTACTTACTTTCGCCTGTTACCCCAAAGGAGCATAGGTCGCTCACCAGTTTTCTCCAACCAACTCTGTCCTGGGCTTCCTTCTCCAGTTCTGTCCAATGTTTGTTCATTCCTCTCATATCTTTCTCTATTTCTCGGCGTAGTGTGCTCTTTGGCCTTCCTCTTTTCCTTTTGCCTTGAGGCTTCCATGTGAGGGCTTGTCTCGTGACGCAGTTAGGTGCTTTTCGTAGTGTGTGTCCTATCCACTTCCACCACTTCTTCCTGATTTCCTCCTCCACTGGAATCTGATTTGTTCTCTCCCACAGTACGTTGTTGCTGATTGCGTCTGGCCAACGAATCCGAAGTATTTTTTGTAGACAGCTGTTAATAAACACTTGTATCTTCTGGATGATGGCTTTCGTAGTTCTCCATGTTTCCGCTCCATACAGTAGAACTATCTTGACATTTGTATTGTATATCCTGATTTTGGTTTTTGTTGAAAGTTGTTTGGAGTTCCAGATATTTTTCAACTGTAGAAATGTAGCCCTTGCTTTGCCAATCCGTGCCCTCACATCTGCATCGGATCCACCTTGGTTGTCGATGATGCTACCTAGATATGTAAAGCTGTTGACGTCCTCGAAAGCATCTCCATCAAGCGTGATTTGGTTGGTGCATGTTGTGTTGCATCGGAGAATTTTGTCTTTTCCTTTATGTATGTTGAGACCTACTGCTGCAGAGACTGCTGCTACACTGGTCGTCTTCTCTTGCATTTGTTGTTGCGTGCGCGATAGAAGAGCCAGGTCATCTGCGAAGTCCAGATCGTCCAGCTGCGTCCTAAAAATCTTCACAACGCCGTAATGCAATCATCGAATGTACTAATTTTTTCTCTTTTCCATTAAAAACTTCTGTTCAATGTCAACGTTATGTAATCAATCGTACTTCTTTTTAACGTATGCATCATTTCAAATCTTTATTTTTTCTGCTTTTAGCAATTCAAATTCATCTAGTGGTGGTATACGTACTAGTGTATCAAATCGTTGGACTAAACTCACTTCATTCAGTAATTCCAATATGACAAATACTGTAAATAGTACAAGTCATAGTACTGACAATACTACTACTACCACAACTACAAATAGTAATACCTTGAATACTTCTCATAGTGGAATAAATCTCCCAACCTTCAATAATACTATTACAGATAATTCTAGTCATCATATATCATCATCATTATCATTAACAACAGAGAATGATTTGAAGAAATCTCAATCACGTACAAAAAATCTACGTTTCAATTTTCGTCGACATTAATTAATTAATCAATTCAATGCCACAGAGTAAATCATTTTCACATGCAAATAAAACAAACTGGTGCTGCACATATCATACACAGAATACACTACACTTCATTAAAACAAATTAATATTTACATGTTAAGAAGATTTTTTTTGTTGATTGAATGTGATTTGTTTTCTTCTCTATCAAAGTAGAATCAACTAACTCATCATTCATTTGTAATTTATTGTATCTTTTGTGTTTCTATCTCTCTGTCGATCTCTCTCTTGGGATCTACATGACAATGAAATTATTTTTTAAAAAAAATTTAACTTATCCACATGTTTTTATATGAAAGAAGATATTTTTCTAAGTCAATGTGTGTATTGATTGACATTGACTATGAACCGTAATCCTAATCACTTTCTTGATTACACATATTGTGGATCATTCAATTCCCTAAAGTACATCATTGTATGTCGTTGATTGGATGTAATATTTTAATTTTTGATTTGATTGTCAGTGGGAACATATGTGTGTACATTCCCTAAATCAACATATCTTATCTTAACCCTCAACCAACTTAATAATAATATTAATAGTGATAACGACATATCAAGTAGAGGTGGTAGACAGGTTGTGTTGTTTTGTGTGATTCGGCTGGATGTTCATCATAATCATCTAATCTACCTGAGCTTAAAAAAAATAGGGAAACGTTTCTCCATTATCTCAAGGCTGTGTTTTGTGTTTTTGTTTCTTTCAGGCGATATTTTCAATATTTTTATCTTGAATGTGAATTTTTTTTCCTGTTACTTTTATTTATTTATTAAATATTTTTTGTGTTTGAAATGAAAGTTTTTGAATTTTGTAAATGTATAAAAAAAATTTCTTCCTTTTTTTTGTTTTAATTAATAAACCATTTTTGTATGTTTTTTTTAAGAAAAAAATAAAATGAAATTAACCAAAAACAAAACCGGAACAAAACGATCACACACCTCTTTTTTTAATGATTATTATTTTTTAATGAATGAATGAATTAAAGACTATGAAAAGAGAAATATATTAAACATCAAAGACACATCCACTCTTTGTACACAATGATCAATTTTTTTACATTTCTTTGGCTTTTTGATTATATTATTATATTGGCATAAATACTACTTAAGATGTTGTGAGTGATTAACCCCCCCCCCCCCGCATTCATTGTATTACTATAAAACTAATTTAATCTATTTGTTTTAATGTGAAGATATTTGTATAATAAATAATCTGTTTTGTTTTTGTTACGCATACACGGTAAACAAGTCAATTTCGATATGCTTGAACCTTAGTCGGGAAACGAAAGTGAGGATCGAGGATCCGGTGACACAACAGGCTACTCTAATCCGAGTGTCCCAACTCCGCATTTAGTAAAAGAAGAAGACTTAATATGAATTAGGTGTATTCTCCAAGCATCCAGAAAGTGCGAGGTCCGAATCCAGAAGAGGATGAGGATCCCAAAAAGATAGGCGCTCTGATGTAGTCATAATGGCTGGTGACTTTAATGCTCAAGTAGGTAGACTAAGTGAGCAGGAGAGACACCTTTGTGGATGTTATGGCTAAGAGAACAGACAATGGTGACAGTCTTTTGCAAGTATGCTCAGATAACCGCCGTGTTGGGCGGCGAAAGCAAAAGCGACTGAAAAGGCAGCGGCGATAGGCGACAGTAGACAACTTTTCCGACTTATCAAGGAAACTGGTATTAGGAATCCTAGTGTAAGTGAGACTATCTCGGAAAATGACGGGACTATTATTTATTCTCAATTCAGGAGACTGGATCGATGGGCAGAACACTTTAGGGATCAGTTCAACTGGCATCGAGCCACACTTCGGTTACCCACCATCTCTATTCATCCTGAATGGCGGGTCGACCTAATCCCAACGAACCTTTATGAAGTTGAAAAGGCTATAGGAAATCTAAAGCGAGAGAGGGCAGAAGGACCCATAGATTGACTCCTGATATTTTTAAGAATGGTGGTCCAGTTTTTGCAGCTAGGTTAACTGAAATCTTAGGTAGAATCTGGGAACTGGACATAATCCCATCCGACTGGTCTCAATCACTGATTGTCCCAATCTATAAGAAAGGACACAAGTCTTCTTGTGACAATCACAGAGGAATAAGTCTAACTAATATAGTATCTAAAATATTGGCCTCAGTAATACTTCGAAGCCTAACGAAAGCTCGTGAAGAGCAGACTCGAGAAAACCAATCTGGTTTTCGACCTGGACGTGGTTGTATAGACCACATTTTCACACAAAGAAAGGTTCTGGAACACAGACACATTTAGGCGTCCTACAGTAGTTGTTTTCCTGAACCTAAAGGTGGCATTTGACTCAGTTGATCGTGAGGTTCTATGGCAGTGTCTGTCATTGAAAGGTGTACCAAAGAAGTACATTAACCTCATACAAGCTCTCTACTCGAACACCACTAGTCGAGTGAGAGCTTATGGCGAACTGTCACCGGAATTCTCTACTTCAAGTGGTGTCCGTCAGGGATGTCCACTCTCTCCATTTTTGTTTAATTTTGTCATAGACATGCTCCTAGAAATTACCTTATCCTCGTCTGAATTTTCAGGGGTAGACCTTTTACCTGGTTGCTTGCTTATCGACTTAGAATATGCCGATGACATTGTCCTACTTGGTGAAGACGCTGACAAAATGCAGAGTCTTCTGACCACCCTAAGCAACAATACAAGCATGTTCGGGACGCGGTTCTCCCCCTCGAAATGCAAAATGTTGTTTCAAGATTGCGTTGCATCGGCACTTGAACTGGTGATAGGGAGTGAAGTAGTCGAACGTGTAGACCGCTTCACTTATCTTGGGAGTCTCATCAGTGCTGATGGCCTGGTGACTGACGAAATCTCAACGCGGATACAGAAGGCTCGATTGGCTTTTGCCAACCTGGGTCACTCATGGCGCAGGCGAGATATCCGTTTGCTGACTAAAGGATGAGTGTACTGTGCAGTAGTTCGCTCTGTCCTACTATAGGGATGCCGGACTTGGCCGTTAAGAGTAGAGGACATTCGTAGGTTACTAGTCTTCGATCATCGATGTCTCCGAAGCAATCCTCGTGTACCATGGGACAACCGTATAAGCAATGCTGTCGTTAGGAAACGAGTTCTCGGTAAGGATGACAAATCAATAAATAAAGTAGTGAAGCTTTATGAGTTGAGGTGGTTGGGACATGTGTTACGTATGCCCAACCATTGACTGCCTCGACGAGCTATCTTTTGTAGTGTAGGAGTATGTTGGAGGAAAGCTAGGGGCGACCAGACCAAAACATGGCACAAATCTATAAAGTCACTGACAAGTGGACTGAGTCATGTTGGTAGATGTAGGCTACGTGGTTGGGGTCCGCGAGACGATAGTCACCAATGGTTAGAGACCTTGAACGATATGGTTCAGAATCGTCTGCAGTGGCGCAGGCGCATCCACTCTTTGTGTGCTTTTTAATTCTAACGTTCTGAATTCCTCATCATCTCTATCTTTCTCCTTCTAAATTTATCTCACGGAATTATACTTTTCGAATCATATCTTCGCTCCCTAATCTTCTCCATTACTGCTGATAATTTTACTATCTCTATCACTCTTGGAATTGAAATGACAGTTACGTCTCTGTGCTGACGTGGTATGGCAACCTGAACTGATGTACTTATATACGAAGTTCTGCGGTGTATCTCTCTGTTTTTTTAATCAATATGCTTGAACTATTACGATTTTACGTTAGTCAGTAAACGAGAGCGATGATCCGGCGACACAACAGGCTACTCTAATCCGAACGTCTCGAACTCCCATTGAGTAAAAGAAAACTTGATATAAAGTAGAACCTGTATGCTACAAGCATCCAGAAAGTACGGGGTCCGAGTCCAGAAGAGGATCAGGATCCTGGACTAGGTATACGGGTCATAAAACGTTACAGATAATGCGTATTTATACAGTTAAGCCGAATAAGAAACAACATTGAAGTCTGTGACATTGGTAGTTAGGACAACCATAATATTGACCAGTAGAATTAGACTTCCAAAAATAATTCTCTTAGGATATTCGATGAATATCCTGACAGTTTTATCTAGTTCAAATTTATGTGATGGTTGTTAGTTAGTACAGGGGGTCGGTGATATTTTATAGAGAACGCTGAACCTTCATAGTCCACATCATGGACTGACCCTATTTAGACTTAGCAGTGTGCCTCCGTAACTAACCAGTGATGTAATGCATACTAGATTGAAATAGCTACCCAATAATTCCTAGTTTCGAATGGTTGTCTAACTAGGGTCATCCTATAATGTAACGCGATAAAATTCAGCTCGTATTTAGTTTGATGATAGTAGTGAAAAAGAATGGTGTCCATAGCTGGCTAGTTTGCGCATATGCTAAGACGATTAAGTTATCTGGGTTTTTTGTCACTAGAACATGTTATTTTTTTTCGTAAAATGATAATCTCGACAGCATCTGTATAATTTATATTTCCTCATTGGTCCTAATTGTCATCTGATTGGCTATTACCACTTGTAGTTTACTAATTATGTAGTGTCTCTAAATAAGTAGGTGATATTATTGTTCCTTTTCAACGTTTGACTTCTTTTTAAAAGCTCTTTTTCATCTCTCTCTATCTCGTATCGGCGTTTTGTTTTGTATCATTTAGTAACACCATTAGAACCCATTCGTTTCTAAGTTCAGTTGTCTTAAAATTAGCAATAGCCGTAAACCTCTATATCATACCCTGATTGCAAGAAATAACAGCATAGTTATTTACCAAAAGCAGTTATTCTATGATATTTTAGACTGTAGTCTTTTGACTGATTATTGATTGTAGTATCGGTCAATGAACTAGGTAAATTGATTGTCCACTTTTGTATTGAACAATGTTTTCAGTTGTGACAACGACAGGATGCAACTATTTGTTCAATTCCTCGACATAGATCAAACCTGAAACAGTCGTGAAATGTTCGTTCAATTGGCATTAACGGACCTTGGACTTCAATGGAATTGTCGCATTGAACTATTTTATTCCGCGTTTAAACGATCTACTGGTTAGTCTATGCTATAATTCTCTCTTTATTGCAACCCAACAATGGCTAATTCTTAGTATTCTCGGACACCGATCCACTCGACACGCTCTCCAAAAATCAGAACACGGTTTGAACAGGAAGGAGAATAAATTCCAATAACAAGGTTAGATGGAAGTTAAGCAGTTCAAAACAACAGTATATCTATAGTTTCTTACATGAGAGGATTCTAGAATGTTCTCTGTGTCGAATAGCGC